CCTTCCGCAAAGCCCTTAAAACCTGGCTGTTCCGACAGGCCTGGGGCCAAAGAGCTGTTGCCCCCCGTTTCGAATGGTACGACTGTTGTGTGTTTTTAAATTATGTATTGCTATGTTTTGTCTTTTTATTTTCTTTCTGTACCCCCCTTCCCTGATTTGAATTGTGAGCCGCCCTGAGTCCCCTTTGGGGAAAAGGGCGGCATATAAATGAAATAAAATAAAATAAAATAAAATCAATCTCACACACACACACACACACACACAGACACACCGGTTGAGGACCAGCTGTAACCTCTCAATATTGGTGCATATAAATGGACATTTGGACCACCTATCAACGCAGGGCCCAAGAACTCTAACCAGCTAGAGAGCTCTCTGTGCAAAATCTCCTTTATTCTTCATAAGAGCTGGAAGCCTAGCAAGGCGCCCGGCGGATTTCGCATCGTCAAGATTATTTCTGGAGAGGAAAGAGTTAAGATGATTAATTCAGTCCTTCTCCAACAGGGAAAACCCGGCAGATTTAGGGACACAGGCGGGATTGCCAAGGCTTCTCCAGCTTGGCTATGCAGGCCTCGTTGTCACATAAACTCCAACATGATGACGGGCAGGGAGTTTACGAAACAGCCCTTCCTTCGAGCCGGGGAGCGTCTGTTGCGGCAACTGGGAGCCAAGGCTCTTCCGTGGGAAGCACAAGCACCAGGAGGAGCCCGGGAGACGCTGTGGGAAAGGCCCCGGGGAGAGGGGGGATTGGGGGAGTAAGCGGGGGATTGGAAGGCCGTCCACAGAAGACAGCGGGTTGGGGTGGAAGCGTCATTATTTCTGGCCTATCCAAGAATTAATTACTTTTCTTTCTTTTTCCTTCCTTCCTTGCTTCTTTCTCTTCATTTCTTCCCTTTTTTTCTTTCTTTTCTTCCTTCCCTTTCTTTCCTTTGTTTCTTCCTTCCTTCTTTCCTTTTCTTCCTTCCTTTTTCTGTTTCTTTTCCTTTCTTTTTTCTTCCTTTTTCTCTCTCCTTCCTTCATTCTTTATTTCTTTTTTCTTGGCTTCTTTCTTTACTTCCTTTCTCTCCTCCCTCCCTTCCTCTTTTTCTTTCTTTCTTCTTTCATTTTCTTTATTTTTTTCTTGCCTTCCTTTTTTCCTTTTTCTCTCTCCTTTCTTCTTTTTCTTCCTTCTTTCCTTTTACTTTTTTCTTTCCTTCTTCCTTCCTTTCTTTTTTCTTGCATTTTTTCTTTTCTTCCTTTTTCTCCTTCCTTCCCCTTTTTCTTCCTTTCCTCCTTATTTCTTTCTTCCTTCCTTCCTTTTTCTTTCATTTTTTCTTGCCTTCTTTCTTTTCTTCCTTTCTCTCTTCTCTCCCTTCTTCTTTCTTTCTTCCTTCTTTCCTTTTCTTTCTTTTTTCCTTCTTCCTTCCTTTTTTCTTTATTTTTTCTTGCCTTCCTTCATTTTTTCCTTTTTCTCTCTCCTTCCTTCTTTTTCTTCCTTCTTTCCTTTTACTTTTTTTATTTCCTTCTTCCTTCCTTTTTTCTTGCCTTCTTTCTTTTCTTCCTTTCTCTCCTTCCTTCCTTCCCCTTTTTCTTCCTTCCTTCTTTTTGTTCATTTCTTCCTTCCTTTTTCTTTCATTTTTTCTCACCTTCTTTCTTTTCTTCCTTTCTCTCTCTTCTCCTCCCTCCCTCCCTTCCTTCTTTTTTTCCTTTCCTTTCTTTCTTCCTTCATTGCATTTTCAAGGAAGCGCAGTTGCCTTTTGGAAAGCACTTTTGTGTCAACAAACCAGAGCTAAAAGGAGGCAAGACTATTCTGTATGAATGAATGTGCAAATACTTTTTTATTTGATTTTTTATTTGATTTTCGTGGTTTATGGTTGCTGCCAAGCACCCCTGAGAAAGCTTGAAACCTAAAGCAGCAACCACATCACTTTTAAGCCTCATCAACCTGTGGCCTTATTAACAAGGAACCCTTGATAAATTTTACCTGTGTCCCCCCCTCCCCCAGCTGCAGAAGTTTAATAATTTGAAATCTTCTGCTTCTTTTTCTGTCTTTTAACACTTCCCACCCAAATATCTCTCACTCCGTTTGAAGACTCTTTCTCTCTCTCTCTCTCTTTTTTTTCATTGCTACCCACCAGAATTTTATCGGCCATCTGCTGGATTTGCTGAGATTTGGTCTGGATATCTTCTTTTAGCCGGTTCTCTCGCCGCTCCACCGTCTCCAGCCGCTTCACTTGGTTCTCCAGAGAATGGCGTCGTTCCTAGACAAAAGTTCAGACAGGAAGGCAAAATGAACTACACACACACACACACACACACACACACAAAAGAAT